GCGATAAAAATCAAGAAATTTTGTTTCTGCGTTATCTAATTTGTCACCAAAATACAAGATCATTTTTTTCGTTTTATCAATAACATGCCGAATGCATGTATTCAAATCTTTATCTTGGCAAGATGAAACGGCAAAACTAACATAGTCGCCCAAAATGGACTTGCATATTTTTTCCCCTTCTGATTTTTCTTCTTCACGAAGAATCGAACGTAAGGCACAAGCATGATTCAGGTCTGAAGACTTTAAAGTGTAGGAAGAACAATTAACATTTTGTTTTGAATTTTTTGCTTTAAAAAAGTCTGCTACAGCTAAACCCTTCGCGTATAAATCTTTCCCAATCTGAGTGTCAGAAGGCTTTCCCCACTCTTGTTCGAGATTTGTTTTACTAATAGCGAATTCGGTTATCTGCACCGGAGCACTCTCGGAGTGCTCCAGAGCAGGAGTAGCATGTTCGGTTTGACAAATGTGCTCTAGTGCAGATCGTTTGGAGTATTCGCTTTAGCAGCACTGCTCCGGCGCAGATCGTTTCGAGTATTCGTTTTGGCAGCACTGCTCCGGCGCAGATCGTTATTTGTGTTCGAATTAAGAAGTGTGCACTCTCAAGGATCGAAAGGTGCAACAAAATTTGCTCCCACAATTTTGTTAGTGCAGTTTAAAAAAATGTCAAGAGAAGCTGCAAATTTAAAAATTTCACTTCTAAAAGATTTAATTGACACCTCTAGCGATAGTAGTGAAGACGAATTATGTTTTTTATAATGAATTTTATATTTAGAGAAAGATTAACATTTAATATTTTAATATTTAATAAAAAAAGTAAATAATTTTCAATATTTTTAATATTTAAATAAAAATACTCATTATAAAGTAATTATTTGGTCTCAAAGAAAAAACCTTTTCACTTATTTTATTATTGTTGTTGTTAGTAGTTCAAAATGTCAAATAGTGTAAACAAAATTTATATCAGAAATATTATTCGATAATTTTGTGATTAACAATTCTGCTATATCAAAACATTGACCGCATAAAATTTTAAAATTCTAATAAAAATATCAAATTTTTTGCTTTTAAAAATATTATTGATGTATACATCATAAAATATTTAATTTTAAGTAAAATAATTTTACATTTAAGAAGAAAATATATTGCATAATATAATGTATAATAATATATATAATATAATAAATATAATATTATATTACATTATATTATATAAGTTTAATTAAATTTAAACTTCGCGCCAAACGAGCAGTGTATGCTTTACACCATAGCAGTTCATGTTGTGCTCCTGCTCCAAAAACAGTCGAACTTTGCCAGTGTTCATGACGTCATAGAGTGCCTCAGAGTAGAGCACAGCTTTTTGAGAGCAGAGTAAACTATACTCCTACACCGAGTAAGATCGCTCTCGGAGCAGATAACCGAATTCGCTATAATGCTTCCATCAGTATTGACGAAATGTATTAATGCAAATACATGCTTGCATTTTCCACCTGCCTGAGACACGCATGTACAAGAAACGTATGTTACTTTTCGGTTTGAGTCGAGCTGCAAATAATATTTTAGGTTAAATTTTTTAACAGTTTTTTTTAGGTTAATTATGAATTTCTTTATATTATGATTATTCTACAAATTAACGTTTTATATTTTTAAAAACGAGGAACTACCATTATTTCAACCGAATAAGGAGGAGAATTCACGGATGTTTGACGGATTACACTGCCTCGAATTTTTTCACTCATTCCATTTATTCGGATTTCTTCCACTCGAACAACATGTATAACCGCCAAAGCTTTTCCTTTTTTAATAGTTTCTGGTCGAAACTCAATTTCGTGATTGATTGCGGCAAAACCAGTTTTAATTATTACATTCATATTGATAATAATATTATTAACCTGTCATTATGTTATTGTCGTCCAACGAAAATTACCGATTTCTGCCGCGCCGAGCGCTGGCAGTCATATCCGGCAATCGTTCAGAGTCATGTCGCAGCGAATAGACTTTAATCGGTCCAATATTGGTTGCCGTGCTGGGCGCCGATTGACTCCCAATATTGGACCAATATGGGCTGATGCTTGGGATGTAACGGGTTCGCCAAGCATCGGTTGTTAATATTGGTCCAATATTGGCCGAATATTGGCAACCAAGAAAAAAAATTTTTTTAAATAAATAATAATAATAAAAAATTAATGTTTATAATTTTTGTTTAATATATTTATTTGTTTAATTATTTATTTTTAATAATTCATGTAAATAATAAATAATTTATTATTTATAAATTATAATTATTTAAAAATGCAGCAGCTATTAGGAAATAGCATTCTGCAAAAAAATTCTATCATTGAAAAATCAATGATAGGCGAGAGATATCTGCGTCATTAAATAGATTCGCAGATGATAGGCAAGAGATATCCGCGTCATTAAATAGATTCGCAGATATACTCTGGTCTCGCGACGAATCTCTCGATACTTATATACACTGGAGTCGCCGTGTCAGTTGCGAGAACGGTTACAGCGTCCCTCTTGCGGCAGAGATAAGAATTATCACGTAAACTGCTAAATCGCTTTACCGACGGCCTTATTATACCCGCAGTTTACGTGACAATTCTTATCTCTGCCGAAAGAGGGACGCTGTAACCGTTCTCGCAACTGACACAGCGACTCCAGTGTATATAAGTATCGAGAGATTCGTCGCGAGACCAGAGTATAGGTATCTGCAAATCTATTTAATGACGCGGATATCTCTCGCCTATCATTGATTTTTCAATGATAGAATTTTTTTGCAGAATGCTATTTCCTAATAGCTGCTGCGTTTTTAAATAATTATAATTTATAAATAATAAATTATTTATTATTTACATGAATTATTAAAAATAAATAATTAAACAAATAAATACATTAAACAAAAATTATAAACATTAATTTTTTATTATTATTATTTAATTAAAAAAATTTATTTAAAAAAATTTTTTCTCTTGGTTGCCAATATTCGGCCAATATTGGACCAATATTAACAACCGATGCTTGGCGAACCCGTTACGTCCCAAGCATCAGCCCATATTGGTCCAATATTGGGAGCCTTTATTGGACCGATGATTGGTCTCTTGGCTCCCAATATTGGACCGATATTGGACCGGTAAGAAATTTCTCACTGGGTAGCTCGGTTATGTTTAAACTTATTTGCATGTACTTATTTATTTACTTATTATTGAAATTTTGTTATTTATTTTATATATATATATATATATATATATATACTAGGGGGGCTTCGCCCCCCTGCGCGCCAACCCCCTATTAAAATTTTATATTTACTTCTATTATATGGATAATATAAAGATGGTAAAATGCGATTTTATTATTTAGGCCAATCTGGAATTATAAATTATCATATATAATAAAAATTATTAAAAATTTAAAAATAATTTCAAAATTATTAAAAATTATTTAAAAAATTATTAGAAAAATTAAATTATTTTAAAATTTTTAATAACTTTTCTAATAATTTTTATTATATATGATAATTTTACCATCTTTTTCATCAATTTTGTAGTAACATAACGGCCTGCAAGTAAAAAATTTGTCGTTTGACATAAACTTTGACGTCCTATTTGACGCCCTATTTGAGGGGGCAAGCTCTGACTCGACCGTTTGTAGACCTGTAGGTAAAACACAGGTCAAATGTTGATGTAATGTAATGGCCCACATTAAGGGCCCCTTTTTAAACCTGCAGGTCAAAAAATAGGTAAAATAAAACATGTTTTTTACGTAATTTAGGGGCCCACATAGGGACCACTTTTTGACATATAGGTCAAATTAAACATGGATTTTGACGTAATGAAAGGGCCCACATGGAGACCACTTTTTAACCTATAGGTCAAAAAATAGGTCAAATTAGACATAGATTTTGACGTAATGTGAGGCCGTTATTGGGCCTCTTTTTGATCTATAGATCAACAAATAGGTCAATTTTGACATAAATTTTGACGGCCTCTTTGGGAAAGGGCGCCCTTACAGAATCTTGAAACAGCGGCGGCGGCGATATCTTTTTGTAATATAGGTAGATATACTAGGGGGGCTTTGTCCCCCTGCGCGCCAACCCCCTGTTTTTTACTCGTTACAATATTGTTTTTAACAATTAAATGATTAATTTTAATGGAATTTTTTAAAAACAGATGTCAGTTTATAAAAACTTTATTGATTGAAACTTAATATTAAACAATAGATTTGTTTTACTGCTTAGCCTATATGAAAATAAATTATTGCCGTAATTAAAAATTCACATGAATGCATTTAGATTTTTAAATAGTCCAAAAAAACCACATGGAAAACAAAATTAATAATCTAGTTTAAATTAGTCAAATGACTGATTAAATTAAATCAATTTAGAAAAACTAAATAAAAATTAAATGAAATTAACTAAATGAAAATTAGTAGATGTATTAAGCATTGAAGAAAGTGTATAAACAAAGATTCGACTAGTGAATACCAATACATGATCAACTTAAAAATTTGTTCACTAAAGTTTGCTTAAAGATGTTTGATTTAAATTGATTATTATTTTTTTTACGAATAACAAGCTTTTTGCAATTTTTTCTCACTTTATACAACTAAATTGTATGTTTGCATTGGAAACACTTTTAGCAGATGTGCATATATAAGGAATATGAGAGACCAAGTGAAAGTTGAAAACGTCAACCAGCTGCAGATTTACAGAATACATTTTTTTAAAAACATATGCTATGAAAATTTCTCAAACGAAACGTTTATACTTTTTTTATTCAAATATACGTCAGAACCAACGTTTCCGCAATTTTTTTTCTTGTTACAATTTTTTTACATATGTATTAAATTCTTAAAATGGAACCTTGAAACTTATTGTTAAAAATACAATAATTTTGACATAATACAACTGTAATAATAATAATAACATAATAATATTTATAATAATAATAAAACAGTTATCGGGTACTTTTTTTATAAATTAATTATTTCTTTTTATTTTCTAGCTGCTGAGGAACTTGGTATGGGTGAAACTCTGCCTTCAACGCCAACGGAGCTTTCGCAATACCCTAAGCTTTGTGAACTTCGAAGAAAGTTTCCTGTTCTCTATAGGGTTGAGTTTCAGGTAAGGCCATTTGTTTTGCAAAATTACATGTATAAGGCCCTTAAAGGCTTGTTGTATGAACATCAATCGAGTAAAAACTAAAAGAGAGAAAAATTGCGATTTTCCTTCATAACATATACTAGGTGGGAAGGTTTTCTTTCCAAATAAAGAGAAATATGGTTGCTTCAGAGAATTCTAAAAGAGAGCAACAATTTTCAGGAAATAATTCAGGTTTTTCTCTTCTTCAATTTTTTTAATAACTTATTTATTTGGTCCAATATTTTAGAATTCTTACATATCTTTATTATTTTCTTTTATGTAGAGAAACATTTTTCTACTTTTTTATTAAGAAAATTTTTTTTTACTGCATTATAGTTGTATTATATAAAATATTAATTTAAGAATGATTGAGTTTTTGAAAGAGATTTATAAATATTAGTATTTCACTGTACTACAAGGAATACAAATTTTTAATTCCAAGCCTTTTAAAAGTTTGCAAAGTAAAATTTTCTATTTTCAGAACATTTCAGTAAAATTTTAAATTTAATTTCCATGTCGTATAAATTATATTAAAATTAAAAAGTGTACACTGAGAAAAAAGAGGGCGCGTTGCAGCACATTTTCGATTCATGTTGCGCGACTCAACCCTGAATTCTTCAACACACTTTCTGGGGCGTGCAGCACGCCCAAAAGAGCGTGTAATACACTTCAAATACAGCTCGCCTCGACTCAGGGGTCCGCTGCACGCCCCAGAAAAGTGTCTAGCAGAACACACACGGAAAAAAATTAATCTCTAAATTAGAGATTAAATCTGAGATTTAGGCATAAACTATCACTGGAATCGGACTTAAGATGTAAGCAGATCACTAAAACTGAAATTTGGTATTATATCTAATCCGAATATTAGTATTGTGAAGAACACGTATTTCTTATGCCTAAAGGCGCTTGCACACTTCCAAATTTTTAGACGAGCAGCGAATTTTCACGACCTTGAAATGCACATTACTAAATATGATTGGCTCTGACAAAAGTACATTTTCTCGCAGCTTTTTGTAGAGCCAATCATATTTAGTAATGTGAGTTTCAAGGCCATGAAAATTCGCTGCTCGCCCAAAATTTTGGAAGTGTGCAAGCGCCTTAAAAATGAAATTAGGAATCTCAAATTTTATGACATATGAAACATATGTTCTAAACTATCAACTTACTTGAATAAATTCAAATCTAATATATTATTTGAATAAACAATATTAAAAATTTTAGTCGTATATTTATATAATTCTTATTTTTGTAGTAACTCGATGTAATAAGAATTTATAATTTATCACAATTTAGAGTGAGAATTATTCACAAAATATTTATATTGTTTTCCCTGTATGAACTATACATTGACAAGTATAAAAAAGTAGTTGGATATTTTTAAAACACAATACGAATTTTATATTTTTATTTCATTTTTTTGTTTTAACGGCGTTGGAAGGTCTGTAAAATTTGTAGGTTACAATTATCGCCCGACAAAATACGACACTGACTGATTTAAATGACGTGAAATAGGTAAATAAACATTTTTCAACCACTTTTTCTCTAAACACAGACACTTTTTACAAAATAGGCCAACATACAACGAGTAGGAATCTTCTTAATTACCTAAATTCAAAAGATGGTTTAAATTCATGCAGAAACGCGGTTGGAAAATGTAAAATTGGAAAGTGATGTAATGCTAAGAATATAACAGCTGGACCATTGTGCTCTCTGCATGCTTCTGCCCTCTTCTGGCGACTGGCAGTAATCCGCTTCTTGTTGTCTGTCATTACATTACTTTCCAATCATTTCCAATTTTACATTTTACAACCGCTTGACAACCGCGTTTCTGCATGAATTTAAACAATCTTTTGAATTCAGGTTATTAAGAAGATTCTTACCCATTGTATGTTGGCCTATTTTGTAAAAAGTGTCTGTGTTTAGAGAAAAAGTGTTTGAAAAATGTTTATTTACCTATTTCACGTCATTTAAATCAGTCAGTGCCGTATTTTGTCGGGCGATAATTGTAACCTTAAAATTTCACAGACCTTCCTTCACAGACCTTCGCTTTTATTTTGATATTTGAAAATAAAATTAATACTTAATTAATTAAAATAGTTTAAATCTTTTTTGTCACTGATTAACTTAAAACACAATGTACCTAATTCATATAAAAATGTTGCGAAATTAACAAATCTCTAAATCAGAGATGTGAATTTATGGCGTTTTCTGGTATAAAGTTTGACAGAATCAAACACAACTTATCACAGTAATTGTGACTATAATGTTTAATTTAGATACACTTATATTTCATTGGACTTCAAATTAATATTATTTCAAGTTTAGAGATTAATTTTTTTTCGTGCAGGGTTGAGTCGCGCAACATGAATCGAAAATATGCTGCAACGCGCCCTCTTTTTTCTCAGTGTAGTACTTAATTTATAATTTAACACCTGTTTATAAATTAAGGATCAATAAAGTAGAAAATTTAGTTAATAACAATTAGTTGTCATATAGTTTTTTTCAAGTAATTTATGGTATAAAAAACGTATTCCCGATAGATTTAGTTTGAAAATATACTTTGCGTTTTAAGATTTTTGGTATTTTTTATTCAAAATGGCGCCTGAAAATAAACAATTTTCCAAAATTTAACACAGGATGGATACAATTTTCAAAAGTTCATTAAATCGATTGAAATTTATTACTCGGGGGTTTTCGGGCTGGCTGATTACGAATCTAAAGTCAAATTTAAAAAATTCAAACTGGCGGATCCAATGTGGTGGATGACCATATTAAAAATTCAACGTATTGGCTTCAAATTTGTTATTCGGAGGTTTTCGGGTTCGCTGATTACGAATCTGAAGTCATATTTTCAAAATTCAAAATGGTGGATCCAATATGGCGGACGACAATATTAAAACAAGTTGTTCATTTCATGACCATTTAGCTTCCTCAATAATATATAAATAGAAATTCGTGACGTAATTCACGTACAAAATTTTAGCAAACTCCATCTAAACGTATGTATAAAATTAAATTTATCCCATAGAATCGGTTTTTTGTGAAAAAGAAAAATATTTATTAATTTTATAAATGTTGATAAAATATATATTTTGTATACATCAATCGATTCGTTTTCTTGACAGGAATGTAATTTTGAGAATAATTAATAAAAATATAAACAAATAAAAAAATTATTTAAAAAAATACAAAAAATTTTTTTTTTGAATTTTAAAAAAATTGTATAAAAAAAATTTTGTAGATATTTTTGAAAATCCTTGTGTCAGATTTTAGGTATTAATGACTGCCATAAACCTGCAAAATTTCAGGACAATCCATCAAATTTTGTCTAAGATAATTTGTACACAATTTTTTGTGACACACACATACATACACACACTCACACATACTTTTGGACATTTGCTCAGAATTGAATATACCACCCCTGTCCGTCTTTCCCTGAAAGTAGTCAGCTTAGTGGTTTGCACTTTAATGTGCAAAAACGTTACTCGAGATGGCGCAGTACTCACTACACTGAAAAAAATACATGAGACATTTTCAACTACATCCCCTTAGTAGAGTAAAAAGTAATAAAACGAACTACTTTTTTAGTTAGTCTGACTACTTTTGATACTTATTTTAACTGTTTTATGTAGTTAAAAATTATTAATTAAATTAATGTAATTTTACAGTTAACTTTGTAACTGCAGGTATGTTACAGAAATGACTACAGAAAGTAGTAGATTCTACTACTTAAAGTAGTTCGATAGACTAATTTTGTAGTAGTTTTTATTTCTTCTAGGAGTTAAATAATTTTCCATGTAATTTATGTTATAGGTTTTTATAGAAGATTAGCAACTGTGAAAAGTTGTAAATGCAACTACTTTAAGTAGTTGCATTGACACAGTTGAACTGTGTCAGGAATGCCTTTAAGTATTAAGCAACTCATCGTAGCGGGCGAGCGTGGTTAGGTGGTTAGGTTATCGGTTTACGAATGTTAGGGTCGAGCGTTCAACTCCCGACGTTTAGAGATTTTTCTCCGTTAGGTATATAGACATTAAATAAATAAGGTATAGGTAAACAAAAGTGGGTAGGGGGAAATATAAAAAAATACAACTCGATAATATTTATAATAAATTATAAATAATTTTATTTTACCATTTTCAGTAGTTGTCTTTATTACTGAGTTATCTTAGTAACTTTAACTACATATCAGCAGTTAATTCTACTGCAAAACTGTCATTGGTTCCTATTTAACTAAGAAAAGTAGTTAATGCAACTGTATTATCACTTCATTCAACTACATATCTGATAATTAATGTAAGTTCAAAATTATCTTTGGGGACTTATTGAACTAAGGAAAGTAGTTAAAAAGTAGTCAAATGTACTAAGAATTTTTTTCAGTGTACTCGTCAGCAATATTCGTTACCTCATTCATTATTGTGTTTGTTGTGTTGAAAACGGTTAGAAATCTCAACTGAATTTTATAAAAAAAATGTGAAAGTAAAGTGACAGTTGTGAAAAATTTAAAGAAAAAATTATTTAGGAGTGTTATATAATGGGAGCTCGTGTATTGCCTTCAATTGTAAGTCTGGCTACAAGTCAGAAAAAAGTGACAAAAAATACACTTTTTCTCAGTCCATGGCGGAAAAGAAAATTTAGAAAAGTGGCAAAAAGCAATTTTGAGGAAAAATTTTGTGATAAGAGCAGGGCAAGTAGTTTGCGAGAAGCATTTTCGTCCAGAGGAAATTTTATGGAAGCGAGAAGTAAAAGATCCTAGCGGAAAGGTTATGGCGTCTGTAAGTATACAAAATATAATTTGTAAATTAATCTGGTATTAAAAATAATGAAAAATTTGAAAAGCATTCTTTTAAATTTTGACTAAGAAAACATTATACTTAATTCAAATAGAAAAATAATTTTAAATGATTTTGTTTAATTGAAATTTGTTTGAATAATTATGTTTGATTCAAACATATTTTCTGTTTTGATTTAAACAAAAA